TCAGAGATGTTAAAAGTACGAGATTTCGAGACATTGAACCTCCACTGCGATGTTCTGTTCACACATGAATAGAACTATTATAGAACAGCCAATGTTCGCCGCAGGCGGCAATTATCGAGATGTCCTTGATATGTCACAAAACTACCTTCCCCCTAGTTCTTTTTAAAGCCTTTTCATGGACACAACAAAACATTTTCAACGCGTCTTGCGCACATTGAATCGCTGTAAAAAACCATTTTCGAGGTACTTTTCTGAAGCCTTTTGTCACAATGAACTTTTGCATTAGGATTCCATTTCCCTTGAATGGAAAAATGCATTAAAAATAGATTGAACATAAAAATATTTTCTTGATATAAAATTACCTACTTAATCGGTTTCTGAGTAGTGCTTACTACACACAGACATATAATTGGAAATAGGTTTCCCAATTTTTGAAATGTTCTCCACAATGCATAATTTTGCAACTGCAGAGAAGCAGTGTATTGATAAATTCGTACTTTCATATATTGATTACACTGAGGCACCGAACAACACATCTTGCATCTGATGATCATTATTACAAACTAAATAAATCTTCTAACACTATAAATTTCACCAAATTCCTTTCTGTTCGTTAGCAGCGTGATGTAAGCGTGACACGCTGAAAACGCAAATGCCAATTGCGAACAAGAAGAACAAAATCGAAAACAAATCAGAATTCATCGTATTGTGACGTAAGCATGAGACGTTGTGGTAGGGCAAACAAATAAAGGGCACAAAAGAACAAAATCAATATTTTCAATATCCTTCTAAGACCTCTTTGAGAAGTGCATATTACGCCTCAAAAAAACATCCTCATGCCTACATTTCTAAAACATCCCAAAACATCCCAGGGATACCTCCCGATAGGCAAACAAAGAAATGCCACAGAAGAACAAAAACAATACTTCAATATCCTTCAAAGTCCTCTTCGGTCAGTGCATATTACGTCTCAAAATAACATCTTCATGCCAACATTTTCAAAACATCCCAGGGATGTTTGTGCTCGCTGAGGAACCTTCATAGGATATATTCTCCGAGAATATTTGAAAAATCCCAGGATATTCTCACGATATGATAAACACTTTTAATTATTATGGAAATATTTCCGGTATATTATAGGAGTGAGGAAATGGAAGAAAAAACTTGCTTCTGTGTGTATGAACTCTCTTGTGATTGACATTCTTCAAACCTATCACCTTTTCCACAGCGTTATACAAACCTCATTGATGAATATAATATGAATAGCAAGATGTCAATACTTGATTAGTAGGATAATTATTGTATTGAGGATAGAGGATAGGTAGGGAAACATTATGAATACTGATACAAAAATAAGCTCAATATTATAATTTGATACTATTCCTAGAATATTCTTAAAGAAGCAGAATATGATTATTTTTTCAATAAAATATTTGTTGTTTGTTTCTATTTTGCTGGAAATAGGTTACTTTTTTCTTGTCTAGAAGTACATAATATTTTGACGTCTAAGGTTCATCTGATTATCCTTCCTTGAGATTCATATAGCATAACATTTTGACAAAGTATTTACTGATGAAATGAAAATCGAACCGGCAACCCTGGTCCGCGCGGAGAGTGAGTTGTCAACAACTGTCATTTGCTGTTGACAAATTGATTATCCACAAAATCCGATAGATTCTACGTGTGAAATGGGTCGTGATGTAACCGTGATCCTCGCAGATATACTTCTAATGTTCCATCCACCGTGAAACACCGCCCTAATAACACACTCATGTCCCATGGATATCCTTAGGACGTCCTGTCGGGACATTCAGGACGTCAAAGGACGTTCGAATTTGGTACCGTGGACGTCCATTGGACGTCTGTGGGACGCACAAATGTCCCACTTGAGGACCAACTAGGGACGTCCTTGGGGGACGTCCCTGGGACAACTATCGAATACCTAAATCTTACAGTATTCCTCATCAAGCACTACAGAGGACGTCCATAGGATCTCCATAGGACAACCTATCAGCAACGCTGAGGGATATCAATTGGATGTCCATAGGATGTCCCAGGGACGAACGAATTATTATTGAATTTGTATTTTTCTGGGTCCCTTTTGGACCAGATCTTGCATAACTGATTAGGACATCCAGTTGAGTTGATGGTCCGTAGAAAAGTATCCCAAGGATGTCCAATGGACTTACGTAAAGGACATTGACGAGGAGTACTTATAGCCTAGAAGCAATCATTCGTCGGCGAGGTGTAAGTTAACGTCCTCGCAGGGACAACATATTGAAAGTACCGACTGGGACGTTCATAGGACGTCATTTCTAGGACATTGAAAGAGTACAGTTTATGTACCAATTGGGACATCCGACGAATATCCATAAGGGACATTCGAATGACGTCCCTAAGGGACATTTCGATTGTTATACGATCCTGGAAATATTAAGGGCGCCTGTGCAGACATATTTGAAGGAATGTACCATCAGGGTCATTTCATGGCTGTCTAGAAGGGACATTATATAAGATCTGAAGTCATGCCAGTATATGTACTACTCGGGACATCCGATGGATGTCCCTAAAGGAACGTTTAAAATCATATCCCATCAGGGACATGCCAAGGACGTCCTTGCATGGGCATTCTACAACATGTACCACGTGGGACGTCTAATGGATGCCATTTCTAGGACATTTGAAATGATGTACCAGCTGGGACACTCCGTGGACGTCCTTGCTCGGACATTGCATGATATGTACGGAATGGGACGTCCCAAGGACACTAATTTTTGGTTCGGGACATTCGGACGTGAATTGTACCAAATAGGGACGTCCCTAGGACGTTGTGTGCTATTAGGGCGTGTATATGTTATATCTATATTTCTCCTGAAATGATGCACAGAACAAAGATCCTCTGGTGTAGACATCCGTTTGGAAAACGCTGATAACTGCATAACCACCTGTGGATAATAACGCCCAGTGGGTAACAACGCCCATTTCCGACATTTCCGCCATATTGGCACATATACGAAGGCAATATGCGGCTGCGTCAGTACAAATTGTACACCTTATGTAGGTACTGATGCAGCCGTATACAGGGTGTTTCATTTGGAAAGGTATAAATAATTCAACTGTGAATAGAGGTCACTGAAGTGATTTCAAAAAATCCATGGTTAATGGATCTTCCACATCTTATAACCGAGATACGGGAAGTTTCATCAATTTTGCCCATATCGTTATGGTCTCATAACTATCCAACCAACCTGTATATATTTTTTCAAATTGGTACAGTTACTCAATCTATCCTGTGAAATTGATTGGGGCATCAACAACAACACCCTATACATTTGAATTTCTCAATTTTTTGGCCACATCCGAGAAGAGCATCAAGATGTGTATTCAACGATTCACTTTTTATTCATGAACAGACGAATTTTACTACTCATATTATGTGCTCAAAATATTATATTTGCTCATTTAGGGGTATAATCTGAAATCAGACCAAAATTTAATAATTTCATTCCTACCTATTCAGTCTAAGTGATCATTACGTTTGGGAGGAGTATTTCTTCTTCTTAGTATTCATCCAGATAAAACTATACAAGCCTTCTCACGATGAGCGTTAATTAGACGTTTTCGACTAACCAGGCAACGGATCAATCTGAGAATTTGATGGTATGTATAATTCAAGATGGTTTACACGTCTAAAATATTTGGAACGACTCGGCGTTTGCCGCTCCTACTAGAAAGTAGCAGAAACTTCGATTTTTCAAAGGGGACACCCTGTATTTCATTACAATTCTGGATTCTTCCTGGAAGGTTGATTTCATCGATCCACAACATTCGAGGTCTAGCAGGACTGATAACTGAGATATGGGATGTGAAAAATCGTTTCAATTTTAGAATTTTTTTGTGTGTGTGCGGTGTGTGCAATAATCAATGGTTTCAATTTATTATCGCATGGTCAAAACGGCTTACATGTCCCTATCTCAACTTTCCATTCACTATCAATTGATATTCAATTGAAACAGATACAGAGTGGTGCAAGAATCTGAATTATAAACCACCCAGTATTTGTTTCGATAAAATCTAAGTAGATAGTGAATACAAAGTTAATATGGGGACATAAAAGCCGTTTTGATCAATAATAAATATTTTGGTCACAAAATATTTCTAAAGTTGAAACATCTCAATTTTTCACATTCTAAATATATCTCAGTTATTAGTCCCACTAGACCCCGAACGTTGTGAATCGATGAAATCAGCTCTTCAAGAAGAATCCAGGGTGTTCCATTCGAAAAATCAACTGCTACATTCTAGTATAAGCCGCAACACCGAATCGTTTCAAATATTTCAGAAAAGTAGATCATGGTAATTTATATATACTTTCGAATTTTTTGTCTCACCCGATGCCAGTTTAATTAACACTCATCGTGAGAAGCCCTGTATAGTTTTGATGACGGACCTGCAACTAAGTCTGGATGGATACAAAGAACGATATGAAATACTCCTTCCAAATGTAATACTCACGTAGACTGTACTTTGTACCCCAAAATGGGCAAAAATAAAATTTTGAGCACAAATGTATAGGGTGTTCTTTTCTGGCAGGAAGAGTTTGCGAGTTTTAAGTGAAGCCGGACCTGTATTATATCTTCCATTGTTGCCTCAATCAATTCCACATGACAAATTGAGTGCGTGTATTTTTATGTTCTGGTTCCCACGAAAAGGGATATCCTGTAATGTTCAGAGAACATTGTGGGAACCAAGGGAAATAAGGTAGGAATTGGTGTTCTTCTTGAATTTCTGGAGGTAATATGCCTCGGGAAACACCATGAAAATAATATACAGATTGGTGGGAAAGTGGATAAGATGGTGCATAAAGAACCATTAACTATGCAAATGGAATGAAATGAAATCACCTCAGGGACCCCTATCCACAGTTGAATTATTTTCCTCTCCCAATGAAACACCCTGTATATTGTCTTCTTATGTGCCAATACTAATTTATTTTCCAGGTTATTGCAGAGAGCCGAAGAAACCGACTACATCAACATCAACTGCGTTGACCCGCTAGGAAGAAGTGCACTGTTGATGGCCATCGACAACGAAAACTTGGAAATGGTCGAACTGCTCATAGAACATAGAGTCGAGACAAAAGACGCACTACTGCACGCCATCTCTGAAGAATTCGTTGAAGCAGTCGAAGTTCTTCTAGAGCACGAAGAAACGATACACCGGAAAGGAGACCCTCATGTAAGTGGATGGAAAGGTTGAATTCATCGACAAGTTTCCACAAAACTATAAAGACCTTTTCGGAAACTTTTAAATTCCATTAATTCGATGACATTATACTAGCATTACAATGGGATGGATGGAATAGTAGAGAACATTGACACATTTAACAGTTACGATCCATACATTCAATTCACAATAGAAGAAGCAAACGCAGAATGCAGCGTCCCCTTCCTTGACAGGTTAACGAAAAGTGTGAACAATACAGTCAAAGTTGACTGGTATAGGAAATCTTGCAATTCAGGGAGGTATAAGAATTTCCGCTCATATATATCAGAAGTTTCCTACTGAATCGAATTTGGTGCAGCAGATGAAAAATACTCTTGGAACTATAAACTAAAAATTCTTATTCCTTCAAATTATAGTACAAAATATCTTATACCTGTTACTAACACAGTCACTAGTTTTTTCACCACCTCACCTTACTTCAGGGAGCTAGCTCCCAAACTATCAAGAATTTTCTCTTCCATTCCAAATACCATCACAAAAATTGCTTATGAAACTGTTTTGCCAATAGATCAAATTTTTTTCAAAATTAAACGATAAAGTCCCAGTGACATTTCAATCGCATATGGTGTACTGTCTCCCTTGTCAGGATTGTGACAAAAAATGCATAGACCAATCTAAAATGTCCATTTTCATCAGAATAACTTCCCACAGGAGTGACAGTAGGCTCCATCCAGAGAGATGAGCTTTGACTGGACATGTGAATGAGTTTGATCACAAAATGAGCAATGCATCTGTGTCAATTTTAGCGAAAGAAAGTAACTACACAAAGAGGATTTTTCTAGAAATGGTTTTCATTTCTCACGAACCTAAATGCATCAATGAAAGAACTAATGCAGATCACTTGAGTGGAATCTATGATTACTTGTTGATGTCTTCAGATAATTTTTTTTGTGTTCTGGTTCCCACGAAAAGGGATATCCTGTAATGATCAGAGAACATCGTGAGAACCAAGAAAAATAAGGTAGGAATTGGTGTTGGTCTCGAATTTCTGAAGGTTATATGCTTCGGGAAATAACTCCCTTGGCAATGTGTTCCAGAGCCTCGCTGTTCGTTGGATGAACGAGTCTTTGGAAAGAGATGCAGGTCTCCAAAGTGACCACGAAGGGGTGCGAAGCCACAACCCAGACAGCACTGGATATTTATAGAATATTCTCTGAATATGCTAAAAAGGAGGAGTATATTCCGAATATTCATCGATTATTACTAGAATATATACATGCCTCTGGTACATCTGAAAGGAATATTCCAAAGTGAATAGTCGGATATGTTCATGGAATATTCAGGTATGAATTTCCCAGGAATATTCCTAACTGAATATTCTCTGTTGTATATTCATGAAATATTCCCAACTGAATGTTCTGTGGGGTATATTCATGAAATATTCTCAACTGAATGTTCTGTGCGGGTATATTCATGAAATATTCTCAACTGAATATTCTGCGGTGTATATTCATGAAATATTTCATGAATATCCCTATGTTTCTCAACACCTAAATACCAATCATCTTTTCAGAGATGTGAGCATCAAACATCAATTTGATGTAAAAGGATTCGATTATACTGGCCTAGTGGTCAAGGCGTTGCTCTGATAATCTTGAGGTCACGAGTTCGATCCCTACTTGGGTCACTTTTTTTATTTTAGAATATATTTATTGGAATATTCCAGGAATATTCAACATAGAATATTTTTTTGGGTTTATTCTATGAATATCTGAGGAATTCCCATTCGCATAATCAGAGAACATTCCACAGATATTCCGGAATATTCCAGACTATTCCTAGAATAATGATAAGGAGATTCATGGAATATCTGATGCTGTCTGGGAAGTCGACGGGTTAATCTCGCGGGGACTGCCAAGGGAGGTACAATTGTTGATATTTCAGGAGAGCATCGTCCATGGAAATATCTATAAAATAGAGACATATCGCCAACTTTTCTACGGTGTTCCAGAGAAGTGAGTGAGTTTGTGAGCGAGGCATCACCCACGAGACGAATCGCCCTTTTTTGGACAGAATCCAACAGTTTCAGGGTATGTTTTTGGGATGCACTTTTCGCAATTGATCTCACGTGATTTTTCCAAGAAAGGTTATTGCTGATAGTAATACCAAGCATCGAAATGGATGTCTTCACAATGATACAACACAAATTGATAACCAAAGATATTCCATGAATTCCAAATTTTCCACTACATTTTCCTGGTAAATAACATAAATCTCAAATTTTCTTCCATGAAATTCTTCGTTCCTTACCAATTGAAATGAATAATTAGCAAATTTCAAAATGTTTTGTTGATGAATATATCTATTTTGCTCCTTCAGTTTTCTTCGAGGTTTTCTTGCTTCAATTGAATGAAGAAAAATCCCATTTATCCACTTTTTCATAAATATTCAGTCAAGGAGTGATCATTGAAGGAACAGTAGACTTAGGTACTTAACATTAAACATTAGTAGTACTTGCCGCTCAAATTATGAATTTTTCACAATCTTCGCATTCTTTGATTTAACTAATTCACATAATTCTGTTCGATCCAGTTTTTTTGACCATGTCATTATCCGTCTCATGAAATTTTATCATCACTGAAATTCATGTGAAACAACCTCACCAACGATGTAAGTGAAATTCTTTTGCAGAATTAATATTACCTAATGATACATTTTTGTAGTTTCCTGAAAATGGAAATATAATATTCCGAAAGCTTGGACAAACTTTAAAAAGTACTAATTCATAGATGTAAACCCCAAGTAATCTCCACAACATCATATTGTGGAGATGACTTTGGGTTTTCATCCATGGATTTCTTCCAAAGTACTATTTCACTTTGCTGCATTCCCCGATGAACCTAGTTTCACCTTTATGTGTATATTTCATTCGAAAAAATAAGTTGATGATGGTTTCTGGAAGACAAAACGTCAGGTTCCAAATATGAAAACTCCAACTAGTAAAGAAGGAGGTGTCCTCATTATGAAGAAGTGTCTTTAATTTTGATTTACTAACTAACTAACTAACAAATAACTCAGAATTTATGTAGGTTTTAGAAAACCTAGTTTCAGACACTGTTTCTCTTACGGTTTACGAAATCCCAATGATGAGGCGCTAATCCCAGCCACCATGTACAGGGTGGGCCAAATTGGACACTTTCAAAGGGAAAGTCTTATTTCCAAACTAGATGGACGAAAACTGATGTGGGTGTCTGATGGTCAATTTTTATGACAAACTCGATAGTGAAAACCGCACATCGATATCTATCATCGTTTCTGAGTCACAGCATGTTTTCCAAAAATGTGCATTCTCGAAAACTTGCTGTAACTTTCTTCCTGTCAAAAATTTGTTGTTTCTATGAAAACATTTCCGAAGCACTTTTTCACGTAGCATTCAATGGTATAAGTAATTTATTTTTTCAAAGTTAGTTAATAACGATAAAGTATTTTTTTCAAATGGGACACCCTGTATATTTCTGCATATTTCGATAGAGCTTGAAATTACCATTCCAAAAATTCGCCTTCTCTTTTATCGTCGCATCTAAAAACTTGAAAGCACTGTATTTCGAAAATGACTTCAATAAAATATCAAGTGTACTATATTTTTGGAATGGTGATTTCAAACTCTATTGGAATATTCAGAAATATACAGGGTGTCTCATTTGAGTGAAATATTTTTCCTTTATTAACTATTGATATACAATACTCTGAAAAAATAAATTACGTATACCATTATACTTATTCTACGTGAAAAAGTCCTTCGGAAAGGTTTTCATAGAAACAACACATTTTCGACACTAAAAAAATTACAGCAAGTTATTTTAGACAATGCACATTTTCGAAAAACATGCTGTAACTCAGAAACGATGACAGATATCGATATGCAGTTTTCTCCATTGAGTTTGTCATAAAAATTGACCATCAGACACCGACATCAGTTTTCGTCTATCTAGTTTGGAAATAGGACTTCCCCTTTAAAAGTGTCCAATTTGGCCCACCCTGTACATAATTGATAATTTTCAATATTGAGAACAGTGTTTTTTCATTCAGTAGGTATCCCAAACGTAGGATCATTACATCTCAAAGTCGTTGAATAACCAGTGATTGAATCTGTTTTTCCTGATTTAAATCCTGATAATCGTTAGAAGAATCCGAAATCCGAATATCAATTAATAATTTTTTTTTTCGTAATACGTTTTCGAGTGAGTAATTCTCTACTTATTTTCGACATTATCAGTACTCGATTGAACTATCAAGTACAATAAAAGTTGTCAACTACTAATGTAATTGACTAACTGACAGCCGTTTATATTAATCGGTGGTTGGAAACGAAATACCGCAAATTTTGAACTAGCACTTGAGCCCGAACTGTTCATCAAGTAGGAGAAACATATGAGAAAAGTGATTATTTTCAGTTATAGGCAAAGAACAGCCAGAGAATTATATTTTTTCACCTTCTCTGGGATTTTTTTCAATGTTGCGTCACAAAAATTCGTTAGTAAACCTCTGATTCAAATTCAGTACCCTGGAATACATGTGGAATGAAATAAATCAAAACTACCCCATAACTTTTCCAGTGAAAATACAATTTAACTGGATAGAAGGGAATTGTGTGCAAGTGTGCGGATGCGGAAACTTTGTTACTCTCCTTGCGGTGACATTTCTCTTTTTATCTTGACGGCGAATAAACGATCGGGATTAGAGCAAAGTGGTAATTGAATCATGAAGGAAAATTGGATATATCTGAACTGTAGAGAAGGGAAGGTTATGAGATTGAAGTAAAATTATCTGAAAAGTGTATATTCAGTTATTGGCGAGAAGCTTTATATCATCAATGCATCATCAGTGCCCTATAGGTATTTACAGTTCTAGACAAAATTTCCCGCAATTAGGATTTTCCATTGTCGACCAGCTCAAAATACAGATACACAAAATCGTTGATATTAAAACGGTTGAAATCGTAGAAAAAACTT